ATGACATATAGAAATATGTCAAGAATTTTTTATTATTTTAGTTTTAATTTATTTGAAAGGCAAAGATAGAGACAGTGACATCCCTATCCACTGATTCACTTCCCAAATACTTGTAACACCCAGGACTGGGCCCAGGCTGGAGCCAGGATTCACAAGCTCAATCCAGGTCTCTTACACGGCTGGCAGAGATGCAACCACTGAACCATCACCAGCAGTCTCTCAGACTCTACACTGATAGGAAACTGGAACTGAGATGTAGAACTGGCAGTCAAATCTAGCTACTCTGATAAGGGATGTGGACATCTTTGTGTCTTAACTACTTAGCCAGACTCTTGTTCCTCTTTACTTTTCTATTGACCTTATTCAAAATATCTCTCCTGTTAACTTTTTTGAGCTTCCAAACAAAACTGTCTTATATAGCTTATACCTTGAGTCACTCAGTAAGTATTGTTTGCTTGTTTTGAGCCACGCATTCCTTAGAGATGGGGAATGACAGAGGAAATAGATCCTGAGTTATGAAGTGCTTATGAACTATGAGAAGCAACATTCTGTCATGAGCATATTTGGAAGTGTTTTTAGAAAGCAGAATGTACCTTAGAGAATCATATTGAATAGTTATATAATAGCTGGAGGAATAAGAGTAAGGAAGTACATGAATGGGAAGGGGCAAATAAAAAATGTTTATAGATTTCTACTTTATACAGCCGTTTTTTATTTTGTCACTTGATGATGTAGATTGTATATATTGGAATTCTTAGCAGTATTGTTCCTACCATCATCTAAATGTTGTAAAATCTTAATTCATGACTTCCATATGCATTCTGAAAATCTCTATTACTTTTATTCAGTTGTGGGGGCTTTGGTAACCTAGCAGATATTCTGTATAAGGTAACTGAAAATTGCCTGTTAACTGGAACAGTGAATTTGGGTCTGTGTTGTGGGTCCTTAATAAATTGATTTTATTTATTTATTTATTTTTTATTAGGCAGAGTTAGAGACAGAGAGAAAGGTCTTCCTTCTGTTGGTTCACCCCCGAAATCGGCACTGCGCTGATCCGAAGCCAGGAGCCAGGTGCTTCTTCCTGGTCTCCCACGCAGGTACAGGGGCCCAAGCACTTGGGCTACCCTCCACTGCCTTCCCGGGCCACAGCAGAGAGCTGGACTGGAAGAGGAGCAACTGGGACTAGAACACGGTTCCCATATGGGATGCCAATGCCGCAGGCGGAGGATTAACCAAGTGAGCTGCGGCGCCGGCCCCAATAAATTGAAATTTGAAACCCAGATCCACAGTAAATGTAGAATATTTCAGATTTCTATACTCATAATTTGGATATGTATCAGCTTTTGTTCAATTATGCTATACTTTTGTTTCATCATGAATCCTGCTTTCTTTTATAGTCAGTACCCACTTTTGTATTACTAGTTTGCTATATAAAATATTTTTGCTATGTATGTATAATTATGTTTTCATTTAATTTGTTTTCTACTTTGCCTACAACTCATATTTTCATATAGAATTGATAATGAGTAGTCAGATTTCTCTACTAATGATTCTCATGTCTTCTACTTAGGTGATGGTTATTGAATTTATTGATTTTAATTTTAATATACTAAGTTGTGATTCTGTAGTTTTTTTCTTTATTCTACGTGGATATCTTATTACAGTGCTGTTCTTTTCTAAATGCCTGGAACCTGCCATATAGTACTTAGAAAGTGCTTTTAGGGATTTAGGATTATCTGCATGTAGTTGATAATTGAAACCTTAAAATGATGTACCGTGGTGGGTATACAGAATGGAAATAGTTGAGAGCCTATAAAGTTGTTACAGTAAAAGCTCACTCAGGGCCAGCACCAAAGCTCACTTGGCTAATCCTCCACCTGCGGTGCTTGCTAATCCTCTGCCTGCGGTGCTGGCACCCTGCGTTCTAGTCCCGGTTGGGGCGCCGGATTCTGTCCCAGTTGCTCCTCTTCCAGTCCAGCTCTCTGCTGTGGCCTGGGAGTGCAGTGGAGATGGCCCAAGTGCTTGGGCCCTGCACCCGCATGGGAGACCAGGAGGAAGCACTTGGCTCCTGGCTTTGGTTTGGCACGGTACGCTAGCTGTAGCAGCCGTTTGGGGGGGTGAACCAACGGAAAGAAGACCTTCCTCACTAACTATGCCTGTCTAAGAAAAAAAAAACCACCTCAGTTTAAAAAAAAAGGGACACACTTAGACTATTCAGATAAAGATATATAACTCCCAGGGAATTCTATATGAAAAGAAGTTCAGTTCTTAAAGAATTTGTTTGTTTGTCCTTTAAGGGTCCTGTAGTGTCTGTTTATTTCTGCCTTTCTGTCTTTTCTCTCTTTTAATGTTTGTTTATTTATTTGAAAGACAGGGTTAACAGAGAAAGGGCAAGAGACAGAAAAACCTTCCAGCCACTAGTTTACTCCCCAAATGGCCACAACGGCCAACACTGGGCCAGGCTGAAGCTAGGAAACTGGAACTCTATCTGGTTCTCCCACGTTAGTAGCATGGGACCAACCACTTGGGCCATCCTCCCAAGGGCTTTCCCAGGTGCATTAGCAGGGAGCCAGATTGGAAGTGTAGCAGTTAGGACTTGAACCGAAACTCAGATGAGATTACTGGTGTTGGAGGTGGTGGCCAGCCCCCACCGCACAACAGTGCCAGCCTCTCCTGTTACCTTCTTGATTCAGGTTCCCCGGTGGATATCTGCTGTTTACTCCTGTTCCTTTTGCAGATGGATTTACTTGTTTGCCCAAATTTAAGACTTCTAGTTTAAGCACTATCTCTGTGTGTCAGCCTCTTGATTCCAATTCTTTTTAAATTTTTTTTAAGATTTATTTATTTATCTTGAAAGAGTTACAAAGAGAAAGGGAGAGACAGAGATCTTCCATCCACTGGTTCACTCCCCACATGGTCATTATGTCCAGGACGTATGTTTTCCCGTACTTAGCTACAGGTTTTATTGTTTAGAAGACAGACGTTTTGTGCCTTACAGTTATTTTGCTTTCCAAGGTTATTATACAGAATCTTAGTATCTGTGTTTTTCTTCTTAGTTACGAATTTCTGCTTTCCACATCAGCAGATTTTATCTTATGTAAGACCCTACCAAACTCACAGTTCTTCATTTTTCTGAGAAGTCTTAAAACAGTTTGTCCAAACCAGATCAATCCAGGATGACTTATTTTACTTAATAATTATTACCTCTTAAGTCTCTTGAATCTGGCACATTCCCCTCCATTTTTGTGACACTGATTGGTTTTTTATTTAAATTAGATCCTGCCATTTGTATATGTCTGTTTTTGGGGAGAGTAAAGATGTTTGTCTAATTGATTTTTATTGATGCATATTAACTTGTTCTTTTATAACTTTTAAAAAATTTTTTATTGTTTTAGATTTGTTTATTTGAAAGGCAGAGTGGCAGAGAGAGATGGAGAGAAGTCGAAGGGGGAGAAAGATCTCCCATCCACTGGTTCACACCCCAAAATGGCTGCAGTAGCCACATCTGGGCCAAATTGAAGGCAAGAGCCAGGAATTTCCATCCTGGTCTCCCATTTGAGTAGCAAGGGGCCGAGCACTTACGCCATTTTCTGCTGCCTTCCCAGGTGCATTAGCAGAAAGATGGATTGGAAGTAGAGAGGCGGGGACATGAACTGGTGCTCCTGTACCAGATGCCAATGTCACATGAAGCCAGTTAACCCACTGGGCCACAGCACTACCCTCCCATAAGCTTTTAAGTTAGCAGACAAATCTAGCTTAAATATAATCTCCTGCATTAATTTTTTGAGAGTATTAGTATGATAGTAATATTTAGTTAATGATTTTAGTTTTTTTTATTCAAGTCTAGAAAAGCTGAGTTTTTGTGAGTTATTCATTAATTTCTTGGTTTAGCATAAAGAGAGGAAATCTAGATTGAGTCCACAAATACTGTTATCTCTAGTGTGTGATGTTCTAATTGAGTGTAAATTCAAGTATTTAAGAAAAAATTATATGAGATGGATATAATCCTCAATCATTTGTATACATTAGCTTGTATTAATAAAATCATTCACTTTAGGAAGTCAAAAGGTCAAATCTTGAAATTTACATCCCTGCCAATTCTAGTTTGGGGAAATTCATGTTTGTTAGTGCAAAATACTTCAGTGATTATTTGAGAAAATAGATTCCTGAGCAGATTCCTGAGAACGACATTTTTGTTTATTACGTACTTGAATTCCTTACCTGTTACTTTTAATTGTAGTTGGGAAAGTGCTGATGATAGTCTCTGTGACCCTAGACCTTGAAGTAAAGGTAACTATCTACAGACTGCTGAAGCATGGCAGTGAGTGGATGTATGTATATAAAAAACACAGTGTGAATCTTAAAGCTTACAGTTCTGCAAATTCTATTGGTAAATTATAGTTGTAGAACTTGACTTTGTGAGAAAAACAGGTTTGGGAGAATAAAGTTGGAAACAAACATAAGTCCTTATTATTTTTTTTGCTTATTAATTCAAAACTGTAAAAAAACTAAAAGATCTTACACACTTTGAATTAGATGATCTTCTTGCAGTTAATTTCTGTTTAATGACCTTTATAATTGAAAAAATCCCAACACTCCTTCCCCTAGAATTTCAGCAGGGTGGTTAGATTCCTTTGACCGATGTATGGTTTTAGTACATTATCTTTATTCAGGTGGCTACTACTTTTCTCATTTAGGATTCAAGAATATTTGATGCTGACTTTTTCCAATTATGGATTCAGAGACAGACTTGAATGTGTGATGTGAGCAAACTGGATAATCTGCTCTTACTAAGTGATTTTTTTTTTTTAACATTTTAAGCTTTTATTCAGCGCGAAAGATGCATAGGAGAGTGAGAGCTTTAAGAGAGAGAGAGAGGTAAATCTGGGTTCATACTGAGCACAAAAAGTGAGCCAGTCAGAGGAGCATCTAGACCAGGAAGCCTAGGGCAAGGCTACAGCCAGTCCCCTCCTGGAAAGAAGCCAAGGAAAATAAGAGAAGAGGGCGGGCACACCATGTCCCAGGCTTTTAACCTACTTCAAAGGGGAGTGGTTAATTAACCTGATTGGCCGGTGGGCACTCAGGTGTGGCCAGGTAGGAGCATGGGGTCACACAGGGCCATGGAGAAGGTTATCTGGTAGGGTGTGAGGTTACGTGGGGGCGTGACAAAGGCGTGGTCTTCCAGTTCACAAGCCTAATCAATTTTAACCTGTATGCCTGCCTATTTCATTCCCCCCTCAGAGACTCCATCCCCTTAATCCTAAGGGGAGTTGATGGACGTTGAATCATCTCTTCTGTAACTGCTTCCTGCTAATGAGGGGCGTAGTGCAGGCCCTGCCTATCCAGGGTCTGGAAGTCTCTGTCTACCGTATTTAATGAATTTGTTTTGTGGGTTGGAGCAGTCTCGGTCGTTGCCAACGTCTGTGTCCCCTGCATGGTTAGTTGCTCCCAGAAATCGAGTTCTGAAACATATAAGTTGTTAATTAGCAAAGGCAAAACTGGAGTAAGTGATTTCTTTTTGTGATCCTTAACTATGCTTTCTGAATTGTACTAGTGTATCCTTGTTTCAAAATCTGAATTCTCTCCCACATCACATATATGAGTCTTGTTCCTCAGGCCTGATTCTGATTTCATTTCCTTTAAATTAGGCCTCGTTACAATAACTGAATTTAAATTTCTCAGTTGACATAGATGCAACCAGTAGTGATTTTTTGTGCAGTTAATTGTCCACGTAAGGGGATTTTATGGTTTGGAAGCAATGTGTTCACATTTACATTTGCCATATTAATATACTTAATAATACATTTTTAAAATGCAAAGACAGCATTATAGCATTATAAGCACAGAAACAGCCAAGGAAGATTTATCCCACCTAACTTAAATTAAGTGGTTTGATGTTTATTTAAAATTATCTTTTAGTTTTTTTTTTTGAAAAATTTATTTTCTTGAAAAAGGTAGAGTTGGAGAGACAGAGCTAGAGTGAGAGGGAGGGAGGGGGAGAGAGAGAGAGAGAAAGAGAATAAGAATAACTATTGTCCATCTGCTGATTCACTTCCCAAATGGCTGCAGAGGTTGGGCCTGGGCCAGGCTGAAGTTAGGCTAAGTTTCCCACGTGAGTGAGTAGGTGCTCAGGTACTTCGATCATCTTCCACTGTTTGCACAGGTGCGTTAGCAGTGAGCTGGATCGGAAGTGGAGTGCCTGGACTAAAATTGGTGCTCATATATGTTGCCTGTGTTGCAGGTGGTGGCTTAACCTGATGTGCCACAATACTGGCCCCAGCTGCTTTCTTTGAAGATAATAACGTTTTTCTTTATACCAATGATGTGAATTAACTACCCAGTTACTCTGCTCAGTGGTGGACCAAATTTCCCTCATCTACTGCTGTTATTGACCCCAATATCCTCAGGCTGTGCAGTGTTTTTAGAAAGTGAGGAATAAGGCCGGTGCCGCGGCTCACTAGGCTAATCCTCCGCCTGCAGTGCTGGCACCTCAGGTTCTAGTCCTGGTCGGGGCGCCGGATTCTGTCCCGGTTGCTCCTCTTCCAGTCCAGCTCTCTGCTGTGGCCAGGGAGTGCAGTGGAAGATGGCCCAAGTGCTTGGGCCCTGCACCCGCATGAGAGACCAGGAGAAGCTCCTGGATTTGGATCAGTGTGGTATGCCGGCCGCAGTCGCCGGCTGCAGCAGCCAATGTGGGGTGAACCAATGGAAAAGGAAGACCTTTCTGACTCTCTCTCTCTCTCACTGTCCACTCTGCCTGTCCAAAAAAAAAAAAGTGAGGAATAAAAGCACTTCTATTAGAGGATGCCTAGTCTACCAAAAACTCTTGTCATGTCATAGCCCTTTCCATTCAAATCCAATTCAGGAAGCAGTACTTGATTATTTGTATTTGAGCACTCTTCATTAACTTCTGTTATTATTCCTCACTTTCTAAAAACACTGCACAGCCTGAGGATATTGGGGTCAATAACAGCAGTAGATGAGGGAAATTTGGTCCACCACTGAGCAGAGTAACTGGGTAGTTAATTCACATCATGACATGGTGAGTAAAATGATGAGAAGGAGAAAGGAGGTAGGGTTACTCCAGGTGGGCAGAGCTCTGGGTACACTGATTTCAGTTAATATTCTTCCTTCAGTCCTCCTGAATGTTGACTTGGTAACTATTGTCATGGAATACAACTTGTATTTCTCTCAAGAGAAAGAATGAACATTACACCACTTACACATTTAAAAAAAAATATTCATTACTGGTCCTTGGTGTGATTTTGCTCGTGATTAGCAACAAGCATCATGAAAATGATTGTCTGCTTTTAGAGCTTTTTCTTTTGCTCCAGTATCCATTCTCTTGGTTCTCTTCAAGTTTCATGCACAGCCTAGAAATAGTTTCCATAGTGTTGATTTCAAAAAAACTAAGGAAAAGTCAGGGCCAGATTTAAGAGCACTGGATGATAAGAAGGAAAACGAAAACAGTCAGGGTCTTTGTTTACACAGTAATGAGAGTGATTCTTTATGTGGTTGGTAAATTTTCCGTGATCTAATTTCTTAAATATAGTTCTAAAATTATTTGGAAAGTGGCAGCATAAGTTAGAACACTAAAGTTAAATAAGTATTAAACAAGGAGACAATGTTGAAGAATGCAGTGATTTTAGTGTTAGTGTTGACATGCTTATTTAGAAGTAGTCTTGGCACAGATGATATTAAATAATTTAAAACAGCCAGTGAAAGGACAGCTGTTCCTTGCAATTCATGGTGAACTGTAGAACTTCTGTGCATCTAAGGAAGACTTCCTTGATACAGTTTTCAGGATCAAGCTGAGTTTTTGGTGACTTTGATTTCAGCCACCATTTGAGTCAACACTTTGGGACTTGAGATTTCAGAAGGATCAGTGGAAGACAAGTTTACTGAAGGCTTAGTTCATACATTTCAGAGGCAGTATTGTACATCCTATAGTATCTGAAAAAGTTGAAGTTTCTAGTACTCCTGAGGTAGCAGTTCAAAAACAGACAAACAAGCAATTTTGCATCTAAGATACTAATTTGACGACAAGAGTCAGTCTGACTTGTTGGAAAGTGAAAGGGGGGTGCTACTTGAATAGATCCAGGTCAGTTTCATTTATCTGTAAGATATACCTTCCCCAAACCAGGCACAAAAGATAAATACCATGTGATTTCACTTACATGTGGAATCTGGAAAAGTCAAACTCGTGGAATTTCAGCTGAGGAAGAAATTTAAGAGGTCTGTCATACAAGGTGACTAGTTAATTATACTGTATTGTACATTTAAAAATTGACAAGAGTAGATTTTTTTCTCGCTACCAAAAAGGTTTGCATATATTAATTAGCTTGATTTAACCATCTATAATGCATACATATTTCCAAAAGCCACATTTTTTTTAAAGATTTATTTTATTTATTTGAAAGTCAGAGTTAAACACAGAGAGAAGGAGAGGCCTGGGAAAGCAGTGAGGATGGCCCAAGTCCACCCACATGGGAGACCTGGAAGAAGTTCCTGGCTCCTGGCTCCTGGCTTTGGATTGGCACAGCTTCGGCCATGGTGGCTATTTGGGGAGTGAACCAGTGGATGGAAAACCTCCCTTTCCCTCTCTCCCGCTCTCCTGCTCTCCCTCTCTCCCTCTCTCCCTCTTCTTCTCACTCTGTGTAACTCTGGTTTTCAAATAAACAAATCTTTTTCTTAAAAAAAAAAAAAAAAGTATATGTCTAATAAAATGAAAATTTGTTAAGTTCATTTACTTTTCAGTGGAAAGTACTGATTTCATACTTCTTGAGTTTATAATAGTGTGTATTATTTCACAAGTTGTGAACTTACCTTATAATGTTTCTTTGTAAAAAATCCTTATATTCATGGGCTAGTACCTAATGTTCTAAACACAATCACCTTTACAATTACCCATTTATCCTTCAGTCATAAAAAGTGAATAGTCTCTTTTATTGCTGAAGCTTACCAAGAATTTTTTCTCTATCAAGTGTTGTTAAAGTAATCATATATATTGACTGGCGCCGTGGCTCACTAGGCTAATCCTCCGCCTTGTAGCACCGGCACACTGGGTTCTAGTCCCAGTCAGGGCTCCAGATTCTGTCCCGGTTGCCCCTCTTTCAGGCCAGCTCTCTGCTGTGGCCGGGAGTGCAGTGGAGGACGGCCCAAGTGCTTGGGCCCTGCACCCCATGGGAGACCAGGAGAAGCACCTGGCTCCTGCCATCGGATCAGCGCGGTGTGCCGGCCGCGACGGCCATTGGAAGGTGAACCAATGGCAAAGGAAGACCTTTCTCTCTGTCTCTCTCTCTCACTGTCCACTCTGCCTGTCAAAAAATAAAAAATAAAAAAATATAAAAAAAGTAATCATATATCATCAAAAGCCAAAATGGGTCTTTAATATCAATTATATTTGTTTTATTTACTCCTTAAATAAATATCTGAGCATTGTATTCTATTTGTGTCTTTTATCTTACACTTTTCTTTAGTTTTGTGGTAGTGTGAAAAGGACAAAGCCTAAGTTGGCTAAACTCCAGGTATGTGTGATTTTCTTTAAACTGTTGACTTAATATGTGTCCTCAGGGTTGCAAAGCCTATTTCAGGATGTATCTTGTGATTGTTAACTGAGCTGCTACAGTTTGTTCTGAAGGGCAAAGGTGATACTGAGGTATAATGGCAAGGTGCAAATTAAAAATCCCTAAGAGACTGGTTTTTCCTATTTTGTAGTATTATCAAGTGTCATCAGTTAGTAAGAAAAGCTGTAAGGCTTTATGCATATAAACAAAGTGTGCATAAAAATGGAATTAAGTTTATTTTACTGTAAAATTTTTGAAAACTGCAGTTTTTCATTATATATATTTTTCACAAACCTTTTGAAGACCCTTTGATTTCAGAATTCTTTTTGCACTAAAATAAGCTTATGTTTAAAATCAATTTTCCATGAATCTTTTGAAGTACCTGTATGTGTATGTGTGTAAGTATGTGTTTCTGACATGTTTTAAAATAGAATGAATTCTGACAAGGTAAATATTCTAATCCAAATAAAAAATGAATAAACATTCAGTTGAGTATCTATAGTCTATTTCTAGATCTGTGAAGGGACTTTCAGAGACTATTATGATAAGATTTTTATTCTCAGGGAAATTATATTCCATTTTGGAGAGAGAGGATTAATAACTGTGCAAGAATTTAAATCCAGGGGTTTTAGAATGACTGACTGAGGTTAATGAAAGTGATAAAAATGAGAGGTAAAGATTTGAGGCTGGGAGCCAGCGGTATCACGAAGTCGGTTAATCCTCTGTCTGCGGCCCTTACGGGTCACCGGTTCTAGTCCTGGCTGCCCCTCTTCCAAACCAGCTCTCTGGTATGGCCTGGGAGGGCAGTGGAGGATGGCCCAAGTGCTTGGGCCCTTGCAGCTGCATGGAAGACCAGGAAGATGCACCTGGCTCCTGGCTTTGGATCCGTGCAGCTCCGGCCGACGCGGCCATCTGGGGAGTGAACCCACTTCTGTCTCTCCCTCTCACTGTCTGTAACTCTAGCTCTCAGATAAGTAAAATATTTAAAAAAGTAAAAAGATTTGAGGCTGTTGCTCATGTGGTTTTGCTTTGAGTTTAAACATCAAGGGAAATGATATAACATTGTTTCTATTATTTTAGATAACACCAGGTTGGGCTAGTTTTCTGGGGCTACTTTGTAAATTTGATAGTAATCCTAGAATTTTAGGTTCCTATGAGACTCTTAAGAGAATATTATTTGGTTAAAATTATATTCCTAAAGGCTTTTATAGGAATATTTTCTGAAAAGGTAGTTAATCTCAAAAATAGTTTAATGTTACTTCATTTTAGTTTTGTTATTACCTTTGTGTGTGTGTATTTTTAAGGATACTTCTGAAAATTTAGAGATAAGTTTATTTTAGGGCAGAAATTTTAAAAATCCGTTATATATGTTTTCAGCACCACAGTTTTTGAACTGCTTTTGTATAATTTGCACGATTGTGTTATGGTTTAAATGTTTGTGTCCTTCAAAAATCATGTTGAAATTAATTGCCTTTGTAACAGTATTCAGAGGTGATTAGGCTACATGTGGAGTTAATGCTGTTATAAAATGATGAGTTTGGCTCCATTTCCATGTTGCTGTTTTACCCTGTGGCATGTGAGGATCCAGAAGTACAAAACACTATATTGGAAGAAAAGAATGGCTTTACCAGACACTGAACCTTCTGGCACCTAGATTTTATACTTCCCAGCCTCCACACTCTAAGTTAAAAGATTTCTGTGTGTAAATTGCTTGGTCTGTTTTGTCATAGCAGCACAATATGGACTAATGTACTTTGTGCTGTGCCTGCTGTTCATGTCTTAGTCTCTTGGACCTTGCACTTAGCATCCCTTCAGCTCCTATGTCCTGTTACTATTACTGTAATGACTAGAGAATTTGATCTCCAATTTTAGTGATCTTATTCCTTGTAAGAGTTTGTTTGGCTATAGAATCTGTGACTCTTTTCTTTCACACTTAATGCTTGTCTAGAAAATCTCATTTAAATGTTTATTGGGTTGCCTAGCATAATGCTAGACATAGTACTTAGTTTAAATTATTAAATTATCTACTTTTGTTTTTAAGATTTATTTATTTGAAAGACAGAGTTACAGATAGAGATAGAGACAGAGAGAGAGGTCTTCCATCTGCTGGTTCACTCCCCATATGGCTGCAATGGCTGGAGCTGCGCCGATCCAGAGCCAGGAGCCAGGAGCTTCTTCCGGGTCTCCCATGTGGGTGCAGGGGCCCAAGGACTTGGGCCATCTTCTGTTGCTTTCCCAGGCCATAGCAGAGAGCTGGATCGGAAGAGGAGCAGCCGGTACTAGAACCGGCGTCCATATGGGATGCTGGCGCTTCAGTCCTGGGCTTTAACCCAGTGTGCCACAGTACCAGCCCCCCTACATTTTCAATGCTTAAAACTAGATATTAGTTTTTGACATTTGTAGATTAGGCCATCACTTTTCATTGATTTGTCTAGATTTAGAGCTAGAAGTCCTTATTCTGTGTTTTCAGTAATAAAGAAATTCAGGCCTAAGACTTTTTATCTAACAACATGAATTCATAAATGTCACTTGGTGAAACATAATATTCACCAGAATTTACTGAAATAATAAACTTGGAGATTGTTTACAGAAAGAGTATGTTATATCAGTTCATTTGTGTTACTGTAGCAATACTAAGACTGAATAATTCATAAAGAGCAGAAATGTATTTTCCTCCAATTTGGAGGCTAGGATGTCCCAAATCAAGGTGTTGGCAGGTTTGGTCACTTGTTCAATGTGTAGTCGTTCCATTCTGTTGTATTGTGTCATTACATGATGGGAATGGAAGAGAGTAAACCCACTCTCCCAAGCTCCTTTTTAGTGACATTGGTCCATTCGTAAAGGTGGAGCCCTCACGACCTAAACACCTCTGGCTTCACGTTTCAGTACTATTGCATTCAGGATTAAGTTGCAACATGGGATTTGGAGGGAGTAAAAACATTCAAACTATATATAATTTTATATGTAATTTTTAAAATATTTATTTATTTATTTGTAAGGAAGAGTTACAGAGAGGCAGAGGCAGAGAGAGGTGTCTTCATCTGCTGGTTCATTCCTCAAATGGCTGCAACAGCCGGAGCTGCATCCCATACTGGAGTACCTAGGTTTGAATTGCAGTTACACTTCCAAATTCCAGCTTCATCTTAGTATGTAATCCTGGGAGGCAACGGATGATGGGGCCAGTACTCGGGTTCTTGCCACCCACTTTGGAGAAGTAAATTGAGTTCCCAGCTTCGAATTTTGGCCTGACCTGGCTTGTTGCAGGCACTTCGAGAGGGGACTGGCAAATGGATGGTCTCTTTCTCTCTCTCTGCTTTTCAAATAGTGATAATTAAAAGAAGAAGGAAAAGGGTAATGAGTGAATATGCTGAATAAGTAAATATTTACATTTCATCTGTTAATATAACCAGTCTTAGTTACATTTTATAAATTAATGTGCTTAAATGTTAAAAATGTCTTTATAGTTTTAAAACATATGTAAGTTAAAATTGCTTTTGATTTTGGTGATACTACATCTAATACAGAAGATTTTTTATAAAATCTATAGTTAGCTTGTTGAATTGGAGCTGATGCATCTGGCAGTGACCAGTAACTATCTACTTCATTTAACGTTGTGAATGAAATAGGGCAGTTGTTCAGTTTTCAGATAAATTTTCAAAATTAGCCTCAGTAAATACTTAACAAATTACTATTTTAAACAGTAGATTATATTTTTTGAAAGAAAAAATTTCTTAGGTAGAGCATCCTGTAATATTTTAAGGAAAAAAATATTCTCTGTAGAAAACAGATTAAGTGAAAGTCACAAGTGATTTATATAAGATTTAATTCAAAACAAATTTTGTATCTGTGGTTGTTTATCTGCAGTTGCTCGTACTGCAGGTTAAGCCTTTCTTAGCAAATGAGAGATTCATAGCAATAAACAGAAATTAGACACAAACCTTACCGTGGCTCCCTCCTTCGCTTTATTCTGCTTTCTTTCCTGATAGAGGTTGCAGTGAGTTAAAGCTGTATAGGGAAAGTAATTACGTGAACGAACTTTAAAAAAGTATACAACAATGGGATTCCAGAGGGCCTTAGTTCAAACTTTGATAGTGAATTTGTTTTGAAGTCCAACATTCTTTTCAATTTTAAAAACTGAATTAGTGGTATGTACTTAGTATTATTTAACATTCCTTAGAGAGATCAGAAGTGAAACATTGATAGGCATGGTGAGTGGGATAAATAAATTTTAACTATCCTCATTTTGGTTCCGGTTACAATCTGAATTCATATAAAACTGTGGTTTTAAGCACTCATTTATGTAAAACTTTGGTTTTCTGAACTTTTTGGATTTTAGAATTTCATAGAAGGGATTGTGGATCTCAGTTTCATTGTTCCTGGAATCTGTAGAACTTATTCCTGTGAAGAGACAAAGTGTAGTGTTTTTCTGTTTTGATTGTTATGAATTGCATGTGTTTCTGATGGAAATGATGTGTGTATGTAATAACACATTTATTGTACATTACACATGTGTGAGCGCTTTAGAAAGCTATGGAAATGGCTTATGTGTTTTTTTTTTTTTTTTTGACAGGCAGAGTGGACAGTGAGAGAGAGAGACAGAGAGAAAGGTCTTCCTTTGCCGTTGGTTCACCCTCCAATGGCCGCCGCGGCTGGCGCGCTGTGGCCGGCGCACTGCGCTGATCCGATGGCAAGAGCCAGGAGCCAGGTGCTTTTCCTGGTCTCCCATGGGGTGCAGGGCCCAAGCACCTGGGCCGTCCTCCACTGCACTCCCTGGCCACAGCAGAGAGCTGGCCTGGAAGAGGGGCAACCGGGACAGAATCCGGCGCCCCAACCGGGACTAGAACCCGGTGTGCCGGCGCCGCTAGGCGGAGGATTAGCCTAGTGAGCCGTGGCGCCGGCGTGGCTTATGTTTTAATTCTGTTTCCTATGAAATTTTTGAAGCTCTCTTGTATACATGTATGTATAAACAGATATATGTATGTAAATGTAGGAAAATATTTTGTGTTTGTGAGAGGGAGAGAAGAATGGAGGAGGCAGTGGGCAAGAAGAGGGTGGTAGGGACAGAGGTGATGAACTGAGCCCATTAGCACTGTTTCATCCTTGTGGTAAGTCAGATTTGGTTACTAACATGGTGTGAAATAAAACCTGAATTGCAGTTTCACAGCTGTGTTAGCACTTACGCTGATCACTAACAAATTCTCTTGACAGGAATAAAACCTAGAAATAAGACTATGTTAAAATCACAAAATACTCTGTGTATCATACAACATAATTATTAAAAAAAATTAAAACAGACACAACAGACCATGGCTCAAAATACTGTTTTACTAATTCTAAAGGAATGAGAAATATTTTCTCCTGTATACTCAAAAGAAGTCATTTTACCTTACCATTTAATTAACAGATGGGCTGTGGCTCAAGACAGGAAATGAAGAATACCTGAGCCAATTGAATAGGTAGTAGGAATTTAGGTAAGCAGAAACTAATGATCCAAATTGGAAAAAAGCCTGGGCATAGGGGATTAACACGCTACCATTATGAAAAGTCCCAGGAGATCTCAGATGACCTCAAGAGGTTTGCACTTTTGTTTGTTAAGAACCTTCATGAGACTGCTAAGACACTGAAAAATACTCTAATATTCATTAACCATCTAAATACCAGGATGGTGGAAAATACCTTTCTTTCTATTCTAACAAAAAATGTTAGGCTCTGAATCAGTCAGATGAAATTAACTCATAGCTTGCAAGGCATTTTAAAAGTCAGAATGTTCAGTATTTCTTCAGTTTAATTTAAGGTCCCAGGTCTATGCAAACATTATTGCATGAGAAGATACACTTTCACTCCCTTCCATTTCTTCTACAGTACTTTTTTCTAACCCTGTGTTCTTTGCTGACAGCAGCAAGTGTGTGTACTTTGTAAGTTCAATAAATGCTGATTCCTGCAAGAAGAAAACTTAGGAAGTAAGCTTAGACGTTATGAAGAGGAAGCACAAAGAATGAGGCAATTGAATGAAGAGTATTGTGCAGGATTCTTTAAAAGTTTGAGTCAGAAGCAAATTAATGTTAATTTCTTCAGATCTACCAATTTTCCCCTATATCTCATGGTTTATTTTTACTCAGCTAGATAATTTATCTGTGGACATAGTTATATCTTTACCATGTATATACTGTAGCAAATTGTCATGATCTAATTCTTTTTCATACAAAAAAGCTAAGTGATTACATTTGTAACCATAATTCTTGTCTCCCTAAGAATATAATAATAAATTTGAGTTATGCAGTTTAAAGCTACAGAATAGGCAATTTGGTGAAGAAAAGCTAGTCCTTATATCTCTGTTTACCCCATGATAACCTACTTGATGAATTCTATTTTTTTAATTATTCCTTTTAGGTCACCAAACCTTATGAATACTACTACAGTAAGCTTCTTAATTCTGAATTATTGTTTCTCCTATTTAAATGAGGAGCTCAGTGACTAAAAACTTGCGTAGTGCAGTTTTTCTTCTAATTTGGAAATTATATTTGGTAAAATCAACAGGACCAACTGTGAGACTGAGGGAATTTCAGTTACGAGGTTTTATTCATGTAAACTATTTTGTTTTGAGGAGTGGACAGAAGATAAGAGGAACATTTTGAAATCATGCCTAATAGTTTTTGTCAGTCTTAATGCTATTGACGACACCACTTAAAACATGAAATCTGAAAGATTTATGTCTTGGTTGATTCACATACTGTTTGACTTTCCAAATAGTTTACATCTTTTATAGAAACAGTTTTTAAAATATATAGCGTGAGAACAGGTTCATATTTGTTCTGTAGGACTTGAAAACCAGCAATCTGTGTTCTGAAAAGATGAAAGTGTGGTTTTGTTCAAAATTATAAATAAGTTGCTTTATATTGACGCTTAAATTTCTGGGTTTGTTTTGGATGTATTATCAGTGTTGACTAAAACTAGCTGAATTTATTGACAGTCCAGAGGGGGAAAAATTGAGCTTGTGTTGCTAAATGAAATTTAAATGTTACTTTTAAAAGTCAAATATACCTTTATAGACTGTTATGTATGATCTGTGTCACCATGAGGAAATGTTGATTAAGTAGTTTCCATTTTGGTATTACAGTATGTCCTGTTCTAAGTTGCTGACTGTGTAAAAATCTTTTAAGTCAAAAAAGCAGCTCAGCTTAAACCTCTGCTATTTATTATGGCCGAAACCAGAAATAGAAATCTACCAGCAACTTTATAATCTACTGGATTCCTGCATATCTTTTGGAGTAAAATTAGCTAAAAAATTTTTAAGAGGCTATTGGCTATAGAACTAAATAAGTTACATTTTATATTTTTATATACAAAAGGTTTTTTTACTTACTAAATACAAAAATGCATTTTTAAAAAAATAAGATAGACCTTGCCTTGAATGGCAAAGGAATGAGAGAATTTCTGGCTAATTGATTGTGAGGGATATTGTTAACCTGTAAAATATGATAGTTGAATATAATTCTAATAAAACTCATTTCCATGTGACACTAGCAGGTCAGAGTTACTTTGAATGAAGTAAAAAGTTTTAGGATGTGTTTTTTGTCTAAGTGCATCTTTTTATTTATGGGGAATATTTGACTCTTGATAACAGAAAAAAGAATCTGGATTTGAAGTGTTAGTGTACCTAATTAAGTTTTTGAGGATAAAGGGTAATACTTAAATTTGATGTCTACTTGAAGAGTGCAGTAATTCAGTATTAAGTGAGATTAATTCTTTGCCTTTGAATATTATAAACAGGGGTATTGAGTGTGGTTTGTCTTCTGAATAAATGTTTAGATTCTTCTCAGTGACTGTTTCTATCATGAAGAAGGAGAGTGGGGAAAAAACTCTTACATCTGCTACTTTACATGAATTTTAGACACTTGTAAGTGTTAAATCGCTGTAGAATCTTACTATGATTTGCAGGAGTTTTACTATATGACATGATCAGTAATTTCTACTTTTCTGAAGTTGTATTTTAGTAAGATTAATTTATTGATTAACATGGTACTATAAGGGAAACAAATGTAAATGACGCTTGGAAAGAAGAGCTGTCATTCTTGGTCTGATGTGTGGTATTTGAATTTAAATTTGTGGTTTTGGAGAATTAAATTTGGATTTTAATGTCATGCAGGAGTAAGACTATGTGCATTTTCAAGATAAATCCAGAAAATAAACTGTGAATGGTTCGTTTTAGAACACAGTGAAGATGTAACTTTTAAAATGTTTTCCAGTCATTTATTGTAAACCTTTCATTTATCAATTTAGAGTTAAATTGGTTGGATGATAGGCACTGTATCAGTTATATTATGTAGTCCCATACTCATAAAGTTATATGCTTTACAGTAACAACTAAAACATAAGCAGTAATTACTGCAGAATAAAAATATGAATCATTAATTTAGTAGACTACTTGTCTTTTGTTGAAGAATTACATTTTTTCTATTGGTTGAAATATGTGTTTGTTTGGACTGCCTAGTAACTGTTAATAAGAAATTGTGCTACTCAGTATGACATTAAATATTAATTACTATAGTTGTAAAGAGCACATGGAGTATACATAGACTATGATATATTTAGGTTTTTGATCACATTGTGCACTATTTTGAAAGAAACACTGACATTACTATGATTATAGTAGACAATACTTGAATGGAACTTTAAATTGTGTAAAGTATCTTATAGTGTTCCTGAACATTAATTCTAAGTTAGTGCTTTTCAAACTCTTGGTCAACTATTCAATATAGAGGGCCTTTTCTTTTATATTTATATAAATATACACAAATAGAAAATATGGAAAAATATTATTTAATTCTTAACAGTGTTATTTATATGTAATGGTGAATACCAAAGTGTGTACCTACATGTAAGAACAAACTAACCATCTAACTAAATCCAAGTCATAGATATTTTTGGCCTGTCTTTTCTTGTAAAAGTCTACTGCTATCTGTTTAACTTGTTTACTGATTATTTGCTTAAAAGATTTGGAGAGCATGGAAAAAAATAAAGATGAAAATAGCATTAACTAATATATAATTAATTATTGACATTTTGGTATTGATTTCCTTTCTGCTCTTATGTGCATTTATTACATATCATGTATATACATTTAGATTGAGATACTGCTTATATAATGGCATTAGATTTTAATGCTTAAAAAGTATTGATTCTTTATAATCATATTCATATGCTGTTGCAAGAATTTGTGGGGGAACATTTTTTTTTACTGATTTAGAGACTTCAGCAATCTCTTTGTGAAGGGGCCAGATAGTAAAATGTTTTTTACTTTACAGACCAGGAGGCAGAATGAGGATATCACATAGATTCTCATGACTTAAACTAACCATTTAAAAGTGTAACAACCATCCTCAACTTGTGGAATGTGGAACTTTAAATTAAAAAAAAAGCAACCACAGGCTTCTGGCTAGATAGTGCCTGTGGCTGCAGTTTGCTAGCCCCTGGTTTAGAAGATTATTTGCTTACATTGTGTGTGTGTGTTTCTATTTAAATTTTATATTTAAATTTTTCT